AGGTGTGAACGAAATTTATTATTTGTAAATTAAGTTCCACCATCACATTGAAAATGCTTAATTTTGGAAGAAAATTGAGTCTCAATATAACGTTGAAAATTGACAATTGTATCAAAAATCAGATTTGTGTTTTAATGGAAAAAACCAAGTAAAACGGGTACAATCATCAATTAACACAGCATAATATCGAAAACCAGTAGTGGAGCAAGCAGGTGAAGGACCCCATAAATCACAGTGTAAGCGATCAAAGGGTAAAAGACAACGTTTATTAGTAAGTGAAAAGGGTAAACGATGGCTTTTGCCAAGGTTACAACCAACACATAAACTAGAATCTAAACCCAACAATTTATTATTACAGGAAATAATACCAGACCTAGAAAGAGAGTCAACAGTACGAAAACTTGGGTGGCCTAGACGTGCATGCCACAAGTGGACAGAGGCACGCAGCTTATTGGAATAAACAACTGAAGCAAAGGCATGATGATTTTGATCAAGCACGTACATGCCATTCTCACATTTGCCGACCCCCCGCACTACTCTTGTGACCGAATCCTGTATGGTAAAACCAGAAGAAGAAAAAGTTACACAACAATTATTATCTTTTGTAAGTTGACTGATGGAAATAAGATTTTTCTTAATGCCAGGAACAACTAAAACATTGGATAAAAGTAGTTAGCTTTTGGGAATAAGAGTAGAGACGGAACCAATGTGAGAAATAGGTAGAGACTGACCATTACCAACCATCACCCTTTCATTACCAGAGTAGACAGCAGGAACATCCACACCCTCAGCATCATGTGTCATGTAAAACGTCGCACCAGAGTCCGGATACCAGGCGGAGTCATTTGAGTCCGGAATCGAACATGCAGCGAAGGCTTCAGCAAGATTGGCGGACTGCTTTTTCTTAAGATTAAGAAAGGTCCAGCAGCGTTTAGCCAAGTGTCTCTCCTTGTCACAGAGTTGACAGTAAATTGAAGAGGAGGTGAACGACTTGGAGGCAGAGGTAGAGGAAGGTTTCGGCTTCCCTTTCTTGGTGTGTCTCGGTCTGGAGGAGGAATTCTGCCGAGCATAGAATGTCAAGGTGGCAGACTGAGCCTTCAAAAATCTCATGGCTCAAAGCTTTTGGAACAATATCTGCAAAAAAAGGTAACGAAAGCTGAGAGAGCATTGTAGTAGAGAAAATTTTGTAGTCTGGTCCCAAGGCTCTCAAGAACCAGTGGACTTTATCCAAGACATCAATGGGGCGACCAATAGCCGCTAGTTGATCACAGATGCCTTTGAAGAGTCGAGAGAATTCTGCCATGGATTTTGAGCCTCGCTGCATGAGTTGAAGCTCGTCCTTGAGTTGGAGTTCTCGAGTCTTGGATCTCTGAGAGAATGAGGCTTCAAGAGTGGTCCAGGCCTCATGTGCATGACTCAAACCAAGTACTTCACCCATAGACTCCTCCGTGAGAGAAGAATATAGAAGACTTAGGAGAGTCTGATCTGTATTCAACCAAGAAGTGTAGGCTGGATTTTCCTGCGTAGTGTCGTCAGATCCAGTAATCTTTGGAAAAGGAGCCTGAACACTACCATCCAGATATCCAAAGACACCTTGGCTGGTCAACAGAGGTAAGAACTGATTTCGCCAGAGCAAATAATTGGTGGAGGTCAGTTTGATGGTGAGCATATGCACCATCGTGTTCAGCGGAAGTAAAGATGATGAGGACGAAGCAGCCATGAAAAGGATCGAAGAAGGATAGAAGAGAAAAAATAAAAAATAGAAGAAAGCTCTGATACCATATAGAGGTTCAAAGACCCGTGTATATGTGACTGAAATCCTCTATGAATATTGAGGCAATCTGTTTCATTATATAAAGTGTATTTACAATAGGAAAGTCCTATAACAAAATATATGCAGTTGAGATTATCCTATAAAAGATAAATACAGGATAGTTAAGATAAATACAGTATACAATCATCTAAGATCAAGGAAAGACTAATCCGAAGAGGATTCATCCTTATCAGGTAACAAGGGAGCAAGTGCGATCTCTCTGCGTAGCTGTACATGATGTGAGTTTGCTACAAAAAATTTCGATGCCGCCCTTTATCTTTCCCAGCATAAATTTCAAAAGGACACTTGAAATTTACCAGTAATTATATACATATAAGACTGTTATCTTCATCTACTTGACATATAATAGTACTTGATTAAATTCAAAAAGCATCTTTTTAAGGTTGGAAGATATTCAAAATGTATCCTCTTTTTCTAGAAAACGATTAGGTGGCAATCAGAGACAATTGAAAACTTTTAGGAAGAAAGTTTATTATTAAACACTCTTCAATAGGTAGGAATAATGAATCTTATACCATTAGAACAATTGTATATTTGTATGTATGTACTTATGCTAAGAGTAATCTTTTCCAGGATTCGGATACAAATGCAAGACCGTTACAGCCAATAAACTCGAGGTCGCTGCATCTTTTCAGACCAAATGATGATTTGACAGAAAACCCATGATATATATATATTGCAGCTCATTGCTATATGTGTATCATGCATCCACCGTAGACCTCATCTTATGCAATAACTCCAATATCGCCATGCCCATGCATGCCATTGTTGATGGAGAAATATAGTGATCTACACTACTCTAGACGAGAGACACCTATATCTACAGATTTTTTTATTCGGATATTTTTTTGTTTATTTTATTATTATTATTATCATCATTAGAGATCATATATATCATTAATAAATACAATTTTTTTATAGTTAAATTCCTGTCTTGTCACTTTAATTTATAAATTGGTGTAACTTATTATATTTTTCCTAAAGAGAAATAATTATATGAATAGAATGGTCTTAGTGTGTATTTCAATTCATATTATATATGAAAAGACAAAAAAAGAATTTTTTTATGCTTTGATAAACTAAGATTTCTGTCACAATACATCTGAAAAGTGTGATTCGCTGGTAAAATATCTATCTATGATAGACTGAAAAGTGTATAATATATGTCATGAATAGGTTCTTTGGTGAAGTTATGCAGCAATCGATTGCCACAATACATCTGCCACATTAATTAATTTTAATCGATAACATGCATAAAGAAAATCAAATCTACTTCTATAGTTGGCAATAATACGTACGTACATAAAGAAAATCAAATCTACATATATAATTGGCAATGAAAGTTAACGTGCACAAACCACAAAGCTGTTTCCCAAGAGATAATTGGCAATGAAAGATAACATGCACAAACCACAAAGCTGTTTCCCAAGAGATGAAAATTTTGATTGATAATGGTCTTCAATATTTACTAATTATAACTGCTTACAGTCATACCATTCTGCCAAGAACTTTCATGATATCATCCATTGATGGCCTATGCAAAGGATCATCTTCCACTCAAGCCTCGGCTAGAACAGCTAAACATAACGCTTCAGCAAGAGGGTAATCCTCCTTAAAACAAGAATCCATGAAACTCCTCAATTTTTCAAAACAACCACCTTCACTTCCTTCCCCTCCCAAAAATCCAATGCACGCCTTGAATAATTTTCCATCCATGTCCTCTCTTCCTGAAATCAACTCAAGCAAAACTACCCCAAATGCAAAAAAAGTCTACCTTTTCCGAAACTGAGCCATTCAACAGATATTCTGGTGCTATCCATCCTTTGACACTTGCCGAAATATCATTTCCTTTTGAAGATCCAACAGCATGGTTTGTTTCAATACTTGCGAGTTTCGCTCTCCAAGTTGATGTTATAAATATATTCCTAGTATTTACACTCATGTGTGCATAGGTTGGGAAAATACAATGATGCAGATAGTGCAGGCCTGTAGCAATATCAAAAGCTATCTGTGTTCATTTTTACCAATTAAGAAGACTAGATGAATTAGACAAGCAGTTCCTTAGGCAGCCATGGCTAGGCAATTCAAACACAACATATGACCAAGAAAAATCACTATCTCCATAACAAACACCTTGTAAACTCACTATATTTATGAGCTTGATATTCGAATTTACATCGATTACCTGTCGAGTATCTTCAAACCGCATCTGCTTGATCATCACTTCAACATAATCAATCATCCCTTTAAAGGATTGGTCTCCAATTTTGTTATCTTCACCGAAATTTTTTGTTGCTCTTTTGAGATCCTCCATACTGTAACTTGACAAAGAGTACTTTATTCCTGCAAGGAGATCCGGAGATAAACATGAATTTGCAGAGCTGTGACCAGTTTGACCAGATCGAGGAGAGCTTATCGCGGTTGAAAATGAAACTTGAGTTGAGCTTCTGGTATTGAATGATTGTATCCTCCCACCCTTCCATTTGCGAAAGGCCAAATATAAGTGGGGCCTGATAGAATATATTTCCATGCCAAAATGACCAGAGATCGAATCGGTTTCTGGACCCAAGAACTCTAGAAATTTTACTTGCTTTTTGTTTCTGTTTAAGTTAACCATGCATCTGCATGCATGGTTAATATATGTACTGTATATTATTTGGTAAAATTATAATTGAAATAACTTCAAGTTTCTTAAAGAATTGAACTATATATGAAATAAACTTATTGATTGATAGATAGTAATAATAAGTTAATAAAGATATTGCTTTCATAATTTAAGATCATGAGGTTATAACAGTTATACTGCAATTACAATGATATTCGTAGATATGCAAGAGATAATCTATAGCTATTTATATAGCTTCTAATAAGTTAATTGGAATGAGTTAATGAATTCACAAGACAACTTTACACAAATTATCGACTTGATGTTTCTTTTAAAAACCGACTTTAATTCTAAACTTTATATATCATTGCAATTCGAATTCACTCTTTTTGTTTTTCTTTTAATGAGAACATATTGCATCAAGGATCCAAGATCACACTATAGATTTTGTCCAAAATTTAGTAGCCTAAAATGGAATTAGTTCAAATCTTAGCTTTAATTTCCATTAGTTCTTGATTATAGTTCATGCTTTTGATATCATGCAGCCATGCATTAATTCATGCGTGATAGTCGTTGGAATTTAATTGTAAAACAATACATAACATTACATTATTAAATAACACTCTCTGATATTATTATACAATAAGATACGTACAATTTAATACATATGGTCTTGATTCTACATCCAAATACACTTATTAAACATAAAGTAATATCATACAAGGCATGGTTATTCAAACCTCACAAACATATATTTAACATACGTAAAACCATATTATAACATAATATTTACAAGTTTTAGACACTGCCTGCCGATCCAACGCCATTGCAATTATCATGATTAAATTCCGTCCTAGAGCAATGGTGGTGGTCATTCACAACGTCGGGCGAATACTCACCTTCCACATTATTCCCATCGTTGATCAGTCCTTGGTCATACCGTACTACTTGCCGGTCACCATCATCCAATAAAACCCTTCTGTTTGCAGCCAAGCAAGAGCTCATTGTCATCAGGACTAGAGCAACCACTAGAACCCTCATTTGGTACTGATTTGGTTATCTTTTCACACTATGTTATTTCAAAAACACAGAAAATTCAAGTTTAATACAAATGAAATATAAGAGAATACAAAATATGTGTGCTTTACATAATCAAAAGAACTAATATTTACTTACCCAAATAGAGATTAGAGTTTTGTATAATTCGTGGGAGAGGATGGAGAAGAGTGTAGCATTTATATAGGAATTTTCTAGGGTTAGTGTTACAATTATATAAATCAATTGATATTTTGTGATGGGGTGTCCACCAAATGAGGCAACATGAAGTGGGAGGACCCTATAATCCAATTAAATTTGTTTTTAGAACAATTGAAATGATTGAGTTGAGAAAAATCTTTTTGTCCATATTAGCACTATATTTAAATAGGACATCTCCACATTAGCTGATAAACCAAAAGTCAATGAAGCACAATAGAGAAGCTGTTCTGCTGCATTGTGATGTCAAAGCATGGTTACCAGAAAATTTATCTAAAAATTAAGTTCTTAACAACACAACACTTGTGAAGTAGTTTAAATTAATTAAGACATTTGGATATATATCCTTTTAGATTACTGATTAAATACTTATTTCTGATCTAATGTTTAACTTCTGATATAACATTGACATATGTGAAACATCATCACACCTATATATATATATATATATATATAGATAGATAGATAATATGAAATTAACTAAATTTGATGAATACATTTGGCTGGTCAATTTGCTTTAACATCTCCTCGAGACATGGGTGCCTTTTATTATTATTATTTTTTCTCCTTTAAGCAGTAAGCATAACTAAAAAAAGAAAGATCTTACTATTTCGTTATACAACTACCACTTTATGTATTGCGTCTCTCACATAAAATAAGAGCCACTTGCTATTTATGTCTATCTTTTTGCAATCCAAAAACTTGTGGGATAACTCAGGCTTGCCAAAAGCCGCCATATGTCAACCAACAACAATATTCAAAGATATGAATCATGTCACTGAAAAGAATTGCTTTTAATTTGAGCAATTGCTTTCGAATAAAAACATTTTGTCAAACTCAAATCCTGTGGTATACAAAAATGTTTAATCATTTAATAATACCTTTTAGAATATCATACTTAAAATGGACGCTAATTATTTTTCCTACTCATGGGATATTTTCAATTGATAAAAAATGAAGCATGATAGCAATTGAAAGCGCAAATAAACTTCCACCAATCTTTAAATTTCCCAAAATCACATGCTTCTTTTCTTTTTATTAGAAACACAAAAATAAATATTAATTTGTTGTTGTCTTACAAAACTTAATTAATTAATGAAGAGAAACTTTCTGTGTTTGCATTGAGAACAATTGTCCCACTACTGTACTGTTAAGTGAATAAATTAATGAGTACACAGCTGTTGCGAAATCCTAGGTTGGTACCACTAGTTTCATAAATTTCAAATTCTCACCCTTAAATGGACGCCTTTTTTTTTTTTTAATAGTTAAAGGTTAAATTGGTCATTTCAAATTTAATTAAAACGTCAAAATAACCCTCACGTCTCAAATTTAGTGACCTGCATTTTTAGGCAACTTCCCTTCTTCTAGGCCAGTTTCCAGGCGTTTTTGTCATAAAAAATTTGTGCCACCACCACCACTCCATCCCTCACCATCTTCTCTTCAAAACCCATATCATCTTGTTGCCTGATTACTCACCATCTGTTGGAAAAGCCCACTACTTTTTCGCACAAACGGCCACTTTGTAGTCGCTTTTCCGATTGTGCTGGCATGTACGTGTTGGGCGTTGGGCTAGATGTAGATAGGTAGGTGGCTGGGGATTTTAGTGAGCATGTGGTGGGAAAGATTTTAGGCTCCAAAATCTGGTGATCAAGATGTTCGCAATGGCCAAAAAACATACAACCACAAACAACAGCAAATAGATATGCAGGATGTGTAAATGGTTGGGGTTGATTGCTCACCGATCGGTCAAAAAAAGGCTAAAAAGTTACCCAACTTCATAAGGTGGCAAGAGAATTAGTCGGAAACG